CATACTGTTGGATTCCTCATTTCTCATGCCCCTGTGTTGCACCTCCCTTCTTTGACCCTCCTTGTCAGGCAATTGTTGTATGTCCTCTATGGGGAAGTGTCTGTTAAAATCTTTTGCTTATTTTTAAAATCAAGTCATTTGTTTTCCTATGCTGAGTTTTGAGAATTCTTTAGATATTCTGATCTGTAAATATTTTATTCCAGGTTGTGACCTGTCTTCTCATTCTCCTAAGAGTGTCTTTTAAAAATGTATATATATTTGTATTGAAGTATAGTCAGTTTACAATGTTGTGTCAATTTCTGGTGTACAGTCATATATGAACATGCATAGGTTCATTTTCATGTTCTTTTTTGCTGTCAGTTACTGCAAGATATTGAATATAGTTCCCAGTCCTAACAGTGTCTTTAGAAGAGTAGAAATTGTTTGCATGAAGTCAAAATTGTCAGTTTTTCCTTTCATGAATCATGCTCTTGGTATTTAAGAAATCTTTGTCTAACCCAAGATTGCAAAGATTTTCTCCTATGTTTCTTCTGTAAGTTTTATTGTTTTAGGTTTCACATTTGTGACCCATTTTGCAAGGTATGGATGAAAGTTTATGTATTTTTTGCATGTGCATATCTATTTGTTCCAGCCCATTTGTTGCAAAGACTGCTTTCTGCTGAATTGCCTTTGTTCAAAATCAGTTTTCTGTATTTGTGTTGGATTTATTTCTGGGCCCTCCGTTCTGTTCCATTGATTGATTTGTCTGTCTTTATGCCAGTATTATTCTGTATTGATGACTATGGCTTTATTGGTAAGTCTTGAAATCAAGTATTAGTTCTTTAACTTTTTTCTTTCTCTAAGTTGTTTTCACTGTTTCAGGTCAATCTCCATAGAATCAGCTTGTCAGTTTCCAAAACAAAACAAAACAAAGCCCAAAACAAACAAAAAACCTGCTGGGGGTTTGATTGAACTTCACTGCATCTGTAGATCAGTTGGAGGGGAGAACTGGCATCTTAATAATAATGAATAATCCACAAACTCAGTATATTCTCTATTATTTAGGTCTTATTTCACTCAGTTCCACTGGTTGTAAAGTTAAAATTTTATTTGAATACTGAACATAGGCTATAAAATTCCATAATTTGTTAAGAGAAATAAATTCAGTTAAGCAGATACTTGGAGTCATGAGAGCTTCAGCCCCTGACCTCCTGGGGTGCCCTTCTGCCATTCTCTGTGGAAGGTTCCAGATCTAGAGGATCCCTGATCAGCAAGAAGTGGGAGAGAACCTGCCAAGGTGAAAGCAGAGGGTGACTGGTTTTGGCCCGTGCTCTGATTGGTTTCTGCTGAGGAGGCTTCATCGCACTCAGTGGTGTCCTGGTGGATGCTTGACCACAGGCTCTGGAGAGGGGAGAAGGGGAGGAGGCATGTGTAGCTTTTGACGATTTCCATGGTGTAAATACTCCCACCATTACTGACTTCAGGCTACCAGGTTGACCTCATTGAATGCAGAGTTTGGGAAGAAATACTTAAAGTCAGTAGGCTCTCGCCTGCTAGTACACGTTGGCACCGTACTGAATTCACTTCCTGCATGCAGATTGCCTCCACAACTAATGGAAATATCTTAGCTAACATGAAAATGCGTACTTAAAAAAATAATCATCCCTGAAAGTGACATTGTGAATCTGGGCACATCACTTTGCTTTTCTGGTTGTTATTATATGCTAACTTTTAATGCTCCTTCCAGTGTTTATACTGAATGAGATTAAGTGACAATTAACTGCATTTGTGGGTTATTGCAATTTAAGCCTCCGGAATTATCAAGAATTCTCCCTAGTATCCTTCTTGGAAAATTATTGTCAATGTCAACCTTATATCTGATTTCCAGAGGTCATTAGACCATACGTACTATGCTTATATTACAGAATTTGAATGGACAAATCCTTTACTTTATGCTAGAGCCACAGATTCTCCTAGTCACTGTCTTTACTTATTTACATGTCATCCTGAATCTTTAGACCAAGAGAATGTTTACAAGAGGAGACACATAGTTTCTTGCCCTGATATGGAATATGATGAAGACCAAATAGGCACTGAACAGAGTCAGGAGTGATAAGACCAGAGTCCTTATCAAGACCATGGCAATTTCTGCCTGGAACACCTGGGACAATTGGCTTCATCTTTCTAATCACTAGCTTCTCATCTGTAAAGGGGATTAATAATAAACTGTTCTGTCTAACCATAATAACTGATATTTTATTGACTCTGTAGTTTACTAGCTCTTTTTCATAATTAAAAAAATCAAATTTTCAAATTTTCTCTGAGGAAAATACAAATTCCCTGTTTTTACAGAGGAGAACACTGAGTTCCAGGTTCAATTACTTGTTCAAAGTCACTCAGCTAGTAAGCAATGGGCTGTCTTTCTGTCTTTACGCAGTCGGTACTTTCTCACTTATACCAGACTTCCTGTCTGCCTGATGGGGCTGCTCTGCAGAGTAAGAGATGATTTTTGTGAAAGCATGTCGAAGGCTATAAAGAACTATACAGAAGTTTACAAATGTATCATTATTATTATTTAATTGAAGTATAGTTGATTTATGATATTGTGCTAGTTTCAGTCATACATATATACACATACATATATTCTTTTTTCATTATAGATAATTACTAACTATTGAATATAGTTTCCTGTGCTATACAGTAGAAACTTGTGGCTTCTGTTCTAGGAATTTTATGGTGTCCTATCTTACATTTAAGTTTTTAAGCCATTTTGAGTATACTTTTGTGTATGGCGTGAGGGAGTGTTCTAACTTCATTGATTTATATGCAGCTGTCCAGCTTTCCCAACACCTCTTGCCTAAGAGACTGTTTTTCTATTGTATATTTTTGCCTCTTTTGTTGAAGATTAATTGACCGTAGATATATGGGTTTATTTCTGGGCTCTCTGATCTGTTCCATTGACCCATATGTCTGTTTTTGTGCCAAGATCATGTTGTTTAGATTACTGTAGCTCCGTAGTGTTGTCTGAAGTCTGGGAGGGTTATGACTCCAATTCATTCTTTTGCTTCAGTATTGCTTTGGCAATTCTGGGTCTTTTGAGATTCCATATAAATTTTAGAATTATTTTTTTCTAGTTTTTCTAGTTTCTAGAATTATATTTTTCTAGTGAAAATTGTCATGAGTACTTTGATAGGGAATGCATTAAATTTGTAGATTGTTTTGGGCAGTAAGGCCATTTTAACAATATTAATTATTCTAATCCAAGAGCTTGAGATATCCTTCCATTTCTTTAATCATCTTTAATTTCCCTACTCAATATTTTGTAGTTCTCCATGTATAAGTCTTTTACCGTCTTGATCAGGTTTATTCCTAAGCATTTAATTTTTTGATATGACTTTAAAAGGGATTGTTTTTTTACTTTCCTTTTCTGACATTTCCTTGTTAGTGTAAAGAGATGCAACAGATTTCTGTATGTTAATCTCGTGTCCTGCTCCCTGACTGAATTTGTTGATCAGTCCTAGTAGTTTTTGTGTGGAATCTTTAGGGTTTTCTGTATATAGCATCATGTCATCTGCATACTGTGATAATTTTATCTCTTCTCTTCCAATTTGGTTCCCTTTTATTTCTTTTTGAGTTAATAGTGGGGGCTTTGTGGAGGACACGGGTTGCTTTGCACACACTCCCAGTTTCAGCCTGTACCCAACTCCAGCCCCATCAGGCTGTCTCCATGCACCAGCCCCAGTTCTCTCCTGAGTCTGTTCTCTGAAACTGGAGCCTCAGGCCCCAGGCCCCGCATGCACCCGCAGACTGAAGACTGCTGGGCTCCTCTGGGCCGGCTTCTCTGTGTTCTGCCTGTCTCAAAGCTGCTCCTGTGCTGTCCTCCCAGCCTCTGAAGCTCCCTGTCTGTCCGAGCTGATCTCCCCACTGGTGAAGGGGCTTCTCTGGGTAAGGAGACCTTTCCTCTTTCAAAGCTCTCTCCTGGGGGCGCAGGTCCTGTCCAATTCTTTTTTTTTTTTGGCTTACTCAGTTATGTGGAGATTTTTCTTGTAGCTTTGCTTGTGTAATTGTAGCTTTTCTTGTAGCTTTGCTTCTGCCAGACTTCCATAGGGATTCTGTGAGAATTGTTCCACATGTAGATGTGTTTTTAATGTATTTGTGGGAGGAGTTGAGCCCCACATCTGTCATCTTGATCCCGCCTCTTTATACATTTTTCTTAACACAACTTGAGATTGATTGCACTTACCTCCTGGGCATTCTAATTCTTTTTGTATCAGGAAATAAAGGAGGTGATTTTTTAAAAAATAGCTTTATTTATTAAATGTTCGATTTAAATGTCTTTATCTTAATGATTGTTGCATAGAATGAAGTGATATTGCTCTGAGCATTTTATTTCCCCTGAGGCTTAATCATGGACTCATTGTGGCTCTGTGCAAGGACAAGAATATTGGTCCTCTTGATTCCATTGGTGTGTCATTTTTGAGCATCGCCAGCCCTCAGGTACAGCGGTCCTCTCCCTTGTCATCCCGCTCTTCCTACATGGATGAGGACTGTGACTTGCTGGCCCTCTGTGGTTCCATGCGGAGGATGAATTGTGACGTTGACAGCCTGCCCGAGAGCTGCATCGACAGCAGCTTGTCTACCCTCAGAGATTCCAACCAGTATGACTGGGAGGTGGAGTACAAGCACTGGAGGGGATTTCAGAGGTCGCAAGGCACTCAGGAGAGCCGTGGGGATGATGCTTCAGGCACAGACATAAGCCCCAAAACCACTGCTCTCCTAGGCCTGATCTTCAGTAGAAATACGTGTATGTTTGAGTTTTATCTGCCAGGGGCATTGTTTTAAAGGTCATACTCGTGAACATAGGAGAATGTTTTTCTCTACCAAGTTAGGGAAAATGTGCACAGATTTCCTTTTGTGGCTGCTCTGTTCCATAACAGCATTGACTGTAGATTCAGGTTCATATTTTTCTTCTCTTCACTATGCAATGTGTATGGGTAACAAAAGACTTTGTTTTTTAACAGGTGACTTAAAAAAAAACAGATTCCTTTTATAAGGGATGAAGAGATGTATGACTCAGAAGGCATGGCTTCCTTCCTGGACTGGAAGCCCCAGGGGTCTGCTAGTGAAGGCAGCGTCGTTAGCACCTCAAGAAAGTCCATGTCGGCATTTTCACTATAGGTAGGTGGTTTCAGAGACTCTTTTATTCATGAACACTGTTCATTTTCATGCCGTATAACTTACTAGAAAGAACACTGGCTCTACCTTGTCATCCTCTGTGGCTTTCTTCCCCTGGACAGACATGGTGGATGATAATCATGAATCTTCCGGCTCCCAGAAGGCTCACAAGATTGTGCTTGCCCGGGACGCTGCAGTGGGGGGAAGTCCAGTTTCTTCATGAGACTTTGCAAGAAAGAATTTTAAGGAAATCCAAGTGTCACCCTGGATGTGGTTCCTTTTTTTCAGTGGATAATGGGAAAATGACCTTCTTTAGCTTGATTCTGTTTTCCTTAGGGATTTTATATACACAGATCTCTCCCTTTCTCTCTGTATAGTACATATGTATATAGGGTAGTGTGTGTGTGTGTGTGTGTGTGTGTGTATGTGTCCTTGTCTATAGAATAATCCTTCTCTGTTTTGTCTAAGGCCTAAATTGGGGAAAGGAAGACTAACAAAGGACTTAGGTATCTACTTACCCAGTGCAATCAACCAAGCCAAATTTAGAGCCAAAGAAGACAGATTCATTTAGGCAGCAAGCATTTCCTGAGCCTTCCTGTGGGTCACATAATGTCGTAGGCACTACAGATACACAATAAACAAAGTCAACTAAATCCCAGCCCACAAAGAACTTACATCCCAAAGAAGGGAAATGGATGAAAAGCAAATTAAAAAAATGAGGTTTGGGAGAGAGGTGCACTTTTACACAGGTGCCCAGGGGAAGCCTTTCTGATCAGGTATCATCTGATGTTGATCAGTCTTACTGGTGGCCAGTTTGCCATTATGGTCAAAATCATCACCAGGTGTATGGCCCCTCTCCTCCTTCACAACGGAATACATGATTAGTATCTCTCAGAACAAGGAAAAAGTAGTGTCCTGATTTCCCAAATTTGCATAATGATTAGAAAAAGGAGTTGAAGATACTCAGGTTATCATTTATTTTTCTCCTTCATCTAAAGAGTTCTTATTTTGATAGCTAGAAATGTTAGAACAGATTGATTGCCCTCTTCACAGTGGGTGTCTTTGTAAATGTATGGTTCTCTGTTATACCCTTCAAGATAACAGAATTGAAAGTTCACTTCAATTTGATTCCAAATAAGACTACAATATTTGGTTTGGTTGCTAGAGAGCATGGCATACATACAAATCATATACATGTACATATATACATATACCTACACACACATATATACCTGCATATTTGCATATACGCATAGGCATATTTATGTGCATATACACACACACAGATATGAGTCCATCTAATTACATGGACAAATAGAACACAGATGTTCCCTTAGTCTGTAGGATAAATCCTTCCCCAAGTCAGCCAGCCTGCAGACATGCATCCACACACATGTGTGTGGTCTGACTTATAATTAGTGTGTGAAAGGCAATCTCCTTGAAGGTCAGGTTCATCCCTCTCTTCTTCGCTGAACTTTGGCTTACTGGCTCTTGTCTCATCTAAAGAGGGCTCGAGAGTTAAAAAGAACCAGTGGAGTTATTTACATTGTGCCCTCCATGTTCTCTTCTGTTCCTTTTCAGGAGTTGATTTTCAAACGAAAACTCTCATCGTAGGTGGAGAGCGACCAGTCCTGCAGCTCTGGGATACGCTGGTCAGGAGAGGCAAGTGCTTTTCATGATGTTTGGGTTCTGCAGAGGTTTGCACAGACAAACTGTTTAAAAATATGTGTGGTTGCCATGGCCGTATTTAAGATCGTGTAAAGGACTACGCGTGGTTTAGAGTTAGGACGTGTAAGTGGCGGTGTGCTCTTCCCCTGGTGAGCCCCCTCACCCCATGTGTGTGCCTTGTGGTTAGTTTTTCTTCTACCCACAGTACTCCCTCCCCACCACCCCCAAAATAACTTTTCTCTGGTGTGCCCCTCTTTCCATCCTTCTCTGTGCCCCACACATGGGATCTGGTAGCTTGTTGCTGAGGCTGAAATTTTTAGAAAATTATGCTCTCAACCTTGTCCTGGTTATGCTTTGGGGTTTGTAGACATTCCTGGGATTGTTTGGTGGAGAAGATGATTGGCTCTTCTAAATCACTAGCCTAGGTTCTTACCCTGTTACCTTTCTCCAGATCATTCTAGCCCTTGGGATGGCTACTTCACAGTAATAGGTCACCATTAGATTCTTCTCAATTGGGGCTTATTTTAGAAGATGAGAAAAAAGTGAGCATAAAAGAGATGAAGAATGAGGCAGCACCGAACTGCCTGCCTGATTAGAACCATTACTTTTCTCTTTTCCTGATTCAGAAGTACCACCAAGTCTTACTTCAGTAGAGCACATGGTGTTTTGCTGTTGTACGATGTCACTCGCAAGAAAAGCTTTCTTAATGTACGGGAATGGGTAGATATGGTTGAGGTAAGAAATCAAAACAGAGAAACAAAAAAAGTATACGGGAGAGTTACAGGCTGTCTCGGAAAATGCTGTTTCTCTTCCCTGTCAAAGTGAGCTTGAGGAGAAGCCACTCCAGGCTGTCAGGAGGACTGGATTGAGAGGCGGGTTCCCGTTGGCACTTGGCAGTATTGATCTCGTCCTCAATAGCTGGGCAAGTTCCCACAGAGCCAAGGACACTGCTAAAGTGAACTTGTGGGGGTAAAAAAGTTCCTGGGTTTTCTTTTAGATAAAATCAGAACCCCATTGGCAGCAAGTGAAAATTCAGGCAACCACGAAGGAGCAGCAGCTCTCACAAACAAGGGGGTGATGGGGTTGGGCGTGTAGTGTGACTGGATGTGTAATAGGGGCCTCCGTCTGTACTAGACATGTAGGTGAAGCATCACCTGGGTGTGAGCTTGTGCCATGTCCACATTCTATACAAACTGTCTTCTCAACTTTATTCTTTCTGGTAGTGATTTGGGTCTTTACATATCCCTGGGAACCACTGAAATACCAATTGGTATTTTAATTTTAATTTTTTTTAAAATGGAGGTACTGGGGATTGAACCCAGGACCTTGTGCATGCTAAGCACATGCTTTACCGCTGAGCTATACTTCTCACCCCACTGTATTTTAAACTTGTGGTAACTATCTGTGCTTTCCTTTGGTCAAATAAGATGGTATATTTCATCTGCAGAGCTTTCATATCCTTTGGTTTCATGGTAAATGCTTTCTTAAAGCAGGAAATGACTTTGACCAGAGTCAGTGTGCTACCAAAAGTTATTAATCACCATAAAACTACAGCTCAAGCCATAGCTCAGCATACTCTCTTCAAAAAAACAAAACAAAACTAGTGGCTAATAAGATTTTTCAAGTAGATCTATTATCTATAATTTTTTAGGCGTTAAGTGCAGTGGTGGCTGAACAAAGAACTGATTGCTGTCTGATCTCACATTAGCCTCTAAATTCTTCAATTGGGCCTATTTCATACCCTGTAAAACACCAGAATGAATGTTCTCTTTCTAACCAAAGAAGTCATGTAAAAAATGACTGATTGAAATTGGCAGTAAGACTCAGACAATGATAAATAAATGTGCATTTTGTTCAACTGAAATAGCATGACTTAAAATTATTATAAATACAATGAAAGTGTATTGACATTTATGAAGTATTTTATTTCACAAAATTTTCCACGTGTTATGTTCATGTCTGTAACATATCTGAGAAAGAAAGTAAGAGATGTAATGATATTCGTACCTTCTATGAGAAACCTGAGGCATAGAAAGTGTATAACACTGATTTTTAGTTATTTAGAGATTAGGGGTAGAAAGGGAAGTTGGATCTCTTGATTCAACACTGGGTGCTCCTTTGATAAGACACCAGAGTGAGCAGCAGATTAAGAAAAATAAAATCTTTGAATGTCAAGAAAGGACCTCCAGGGTAGGTAGTGCATAGAGCAGAGGCATCTGTTTTGGGGAACAGATGGACCTCCCTGGGTTTGATCAGTGAGTTCAGTGAATGACGAATAATCGCAACTAACTCATACCCACAGGTATTTGAGATCTGTAACAAGATCTTTTATTATTGAAACTGTTGGACTTGGTCTTCATTTTAAGACTTTGGATTATACTCACAAAAAGGAGGCACAAAAGGCAGGGTCAGTCGTAGGGTTGAAATAGCCCCTAGTGACCAGCTGTGGCCTGTGTGGGGCCCCAGTGCCATAATTTGCTAAATAAGCACCTCCACGTGGTAAGTGATCTTCTTAGCTATTTGTATTACCTTTCGCAGGGTCTGAAAAGGAAGACAACTATATTCAAGGTGACGAATTCTTGAATTTGTTATGGAGGAAAAATTAGACGCCACTTGGGCTTTGACTTTCATTTGTTCTGCTGAACCTTCGCCTTGGCTTACCTTTTTTTGTTGTTGTTGAGGAAATTGTATCAGGACGATTTATATGGCCACTAGAAATGTGAGTAGAAATCAATGGTGAGATGCTTGGGACAGGGCAGCAGATTGAGAAGCAATAGGATGTCCATGGTGAATGGACCCGCTGAATGAATAATGAATATGCGTCGATTGAAAACCACTGGGTTACAAAATCTTTTGATAAAATTATGGCCATTTCCTTACCTGTTATGAAGAATTGATTGATTGAATATTTGGGTAAAAGTTGAATGGAGACACTTGAGACATGAGCTCTTTTCCTGACCTTTAACACATTTCAAAAATACATCGGGCATACCTGCTTTGTGTGGGTGCTGGGCTAGTGCTGGCAGTGTATCCATTCGTAAAACAAAGAGCCCACCCTCCTGGAGCTTGTACTCCCATAGGGGAGACGTAACACGTGACAAACATAAATAAATAAAATACATAGAGTGATAGAAAGTGATAAATGTTATAAAAACAAAAAGAGGGTGTGGTAAAAGGTTTCACGGGGAGGCAGTGGGCTGCAGGTAATGTGGCCGGGTTAGCCTCACCAGAAGGTGATTATGTGCGTCAAGACTTGAAGGAGGTGCTGGTTTCCACCTGTGTGACTTTGAGAAGTCATTTAGACACTCGGATTCTTGGCTTACTTCAGCGAATTTGTGGTTAACGGCTTCCATATGACGCCGGCTTGGATCTGGAGCCGTTCTGCCCAGGACACAATTACTTAACAGGTTAATGGGTGGGGCGTCTAGTTCTGGGGAGGGCCTTTCACGTCCTTCTCCCCTTCGCTTTTACTCCACTCTGGTGCGTTCGGTTAGAGGAAGATGGTCTGAAGAGAAAGGAAGTGGAATACAATTTCATTGTTTTTGAGGCTCATTTCTTGACGCGGATCAAAGTGGACCAGCACCTGCCTGGATT